AGCAGACCCGTGATCCCCTTCCTGATTCCAAACATGGGGTCTGCAGAGACAAAAAAAAGTGCACCGTGTTTCAGGCGGTGGATCTGGCCAGGAGGAAAGAGAAGTTGAGTCTGCTGAGAAGGAGGACAGGACGCGCGGCTCTGCAACACTTTCAGGCGGCAGTGCTACAATCTCCTCCCTGAATCCAAAGCATTTCCCAGTTCCCCCGCTGCACATTGCAGGGGAACTGGCCGCCACCTGAAGCGCGACTCTTGAGAATTGCATTGGGGAATCTGGGCACCAATGGCTGGAAAGGAGGAACGCCAGCTCGGCTTGGCTCCTGGGCGCAGAGAGGGCTTAGGCAGCGGCGGCGGCAGCTCCTCACATTGCTGGGGAGTGAAGTCAGCGCGGCCAGAGGGGTGACCAGCCACAAATCGTGGCACCTGCCTGGTTCTCCGAAGCTGCTGGGCAGATTCCCCCCCTCCAACCGTCCCGAAGAGGGAGGGTTGTTCCTCAAGCTGTGCCCTGACCCAGATCCCTGCCACCTGGAACTGGCCAAAAATGGTTGAAGGGTGGGCGGGGCTACATTCGGCATATAAGACGCACCCAGATTTTCACCCCCTTTTTGGGGGTAAAAAGATACGTCTTATACTCTGAAAAATACGGTAATAACCAGTACAGGTAGTCCTCGACTTATGACCACAAATGAGCTCAAAATTTATATTGTTAAATCAGACATTTGCTAAGTGAGTTTGCCGCATTTTATGACCTCTTACCACAGTTGTTAAGTGTAGATAAGTTAGTAATATGGTTGTTAGGTGAATGCAACTTCCCCATTAACTTTGCTTAGAAGATCACAAATGGTGATCATATGATCCTGGATCATCACAACCATGATAAATATGACTCAGTTGCCAAGGGTCTGAATTTTGATCATGTGATTTTGGGGATGCTGCAACAGTTGTAAGTATGAAAAGGTCATAAGTCATTTTTTTCAGAGCTGTTTAATTTTGAATGGTCACCAAATGAACTGTTTTAAGTAGAGGACTACATGTACTGGCAAAAGAAACTTTTTAAATTGTGGTCACATGGTCATGGAATGCTGCAAACAGCCCTAAATCTGCAGCCCTCCTCCTTCCAGTCATTGGAATTTTGAAGCTGGGTCATAAATACCTTTTTGAAGTCCATCATAACTTTGAATGGTGCTAAGCAACCAATTGGAAGTCAATTACTACCTCTAAATATTAAGTAATAATGACTCTGGTAACGATATTCAACCCTGTTTAATTCACCTTGTCAAAACAATTGCTTGAAATTAAATGAAGGCAGAAGAGAAGCCTGGAGTATCACTGGAGGAAAACCCATCTCAAGTTATACTGGGCATTGATAAGAGTGGCTGGTTTGAGCCTACACATTGGCAGTACAAGTACCGTGTTTCCCCGAAAATAAGACAGGGTCTTATTTTCTTTTGACCCCCGAAATATGGCATTGGCCTTATTATTGGGGGGAGGGGGGATCTTATCCCTAAACCTCGGCCCTGGAGCGCCAACCTGTTGCTTCTCCAGTGCTGCTCAGGCCGCTGCCTCAAGCAATCTTCCCGTGCAAACAGCATGAGGTGAGGTGGGGGGGCGAAGGGGGGGAACATCCCCCACACTCCCCTGCCATTCATGCAGAAATGGAGCGCTTTTCTTTTCTTTGGGCAGAAAGTGGCCGTGGCTTGCAACAAGCGGGTTTTCTGGTGTTGGGAATGCCGGGGCAAATGAAGGCAGACTCGGGAGTTAAGGCATGAAGCTCAGGCGGGGGGGGGAAGAGGACGGTGGCCAGATCCCCCTCGGGCATCCTCGCAGGCGCCGGATCGAAGCCGCCCTTCAGCCAGGGGGCAGGGGCACTTCCTCCTTCCCTTCTCCATCTTCTGCTCATCAGGGATCGCCCGGCTAAATCGGATGCTGGAGCAGCCGCCCCGGGGACTCTGGCATCCTGGCATCATCATCAGCATTGTCATCATGGCTGCCTTTTCCCTCCCAACCCTTTCTGCTGCCCGAACATTTAACCCAGCTGGTGGGCTTGTCAGAGCATCCCCCTCCCCCTAAGCCACATATCAAATCCCATCTCAGAGCTCCAGTCCTGGGGGATTGAGGCCATTTTAGCATCCGATCCACACACACAAAAAGAAAGGTTTGCCGAGGGTGAGGTTGGATTGTGGACGTGGGCAGTGGGCAGAAGGGGAAGGCAACACCCCATCCCTCCCTGGCAATTCCAGGGCCGGCCAAGAGACCCCCCTCCCCACTGTTCCTCCACCACAGGGTTTTTGGCATCCATGGGGGCCGATCGCCACTCACCCACGGGGGGCTTCTTTCAGCGCGGGAAATGGCAGGAAGTCTCTGCGCCCCCCCATTGTCTGGAGCCGGGCAGGTGAGGAAGCGAGGCAGGAGCCCCGGTGCTGCCTTTCAGTTGAGGGAGGGAGGGAGGCTGCTTGCAAAATCTGCTCGTTGGGACTGCGGGCTCTCCTTTTCTCCCCCGGCCGGCCAGGCTCCCTCATGGAGGTTGCGAGGGGCTCCCAGTTGCAGCTCGCCTCTTCTGGAGCAGTCACCCCCATTGGAGACCCATTTGTCCACCGAGCCAAGACCAATTGGCAGTGGCAGCGGGTAGGAGAAGCTGCAGTGAAGAGGTCAGGGCGGCCAGAGCTGCTTTTCATGCAGGGCCAGAGGGTGCAAGCGTGAGGGGGGGCTCATGGGGCCGGAGCTCCGGCGCAGTCTCCCTCCCCCCAGTCCCAGGTCGACAGGGCTAGGGCTGGCAAGTTTTTTTGTGGCTGATCTTTGCAGCCCCCACTAAGAGAAGGGGAGCAAGAGCTAGATTTTGTGGGAGCAGCCTCCATGAGGCCTTTCCACATGTATGGCAGGAGCGCATGGGGCATGTTCCCCCTCCCTTTCACCCCCTCTCCAGCCTCACCTCCTCACGTCATGTTGTTTGCGTGGCAGCTGCGCATGCGTCTAAGTATTGGGCTTATTTTGGGGGGAGGCTTATTTTAGCGCATGCGCTCAAAAGCCCAATTGGGCTTATTATCGGAACATGTCTTAGTTTCGGGAAAACACAGTAGCAAAAAACTAAATATTTTGTGTTCTTACTGAATCTGCTCAGTGCTACTTACTAGAACCTTCAAAGGTGACTTTTACAGAACAATTCTAATTTTAGGGAATAATATTTTTAGGAAATAATCTCCATGAACATATGAAAGGCCTTATGAAGAATACTTGCAGTCATTTTATAAGTCACTGCAACAGGCAATAGGCAGCATATACATTTAAATAATTTAAAACAAAGCAGGTAAAACTGCTCAAATTTGAGCAAAGCTTGATAGTATGTGGACAGTGATAATGCAGATGACGGGAGCTAAATCTTGTGAAATAATCTGGGATCAGTGTGAATCTATGAGACTTGAGGAACTTTATGCAACAAATTTTAATGTTATCTTCCCTGCTTCTCAACTGAATTTTAGCCCCTCATAAGGCCTCAATAATATTATCTTATAGGAACTGAGAAGCAGCCATTTTCAGTCACTAGACTAGATTTTAAAATGATTTTTAAAACTTATTTTTATGCGTTTTTAATGTACCTTACATTTACGACTAGAAGACCTCCAAGGTCCCTTCCAATTCTGTTATTCCTAGTGGTAGGTTTTTTTCTTTTTCTTTAGAAAAATTGAATCTTATTAAGTGATAATGAATTTTATTTTTTTAATCTACAGTTTTATGTACAGAAGTGCCAGAGAATCATTATCAATCAATTTCATGGTCCTTTTTACAATCTATATTACATCCTTTCAGTAATTTTGTGAGAAAATTTAGTATTTCTATTTTTAACTCTGAGACCAGGAATGTCATGTCCAAAAAAACCAACCAAAAAACCTTAAATTTGGAATTCTGACTCACATATACCCTGATCAATTCAGTGTCTGTTGAAGTATTTCTACTGTCAAGAGCAAAGAATAGTTCATTTCATGTGCCATATTATCCACTGATACTTTCTTCATTTTCAGAGAAAGACTTATATTTAAAATGGATTTTTGTATGTAGTGATATAATTATTAAAGCTAATAAAGTCAAATAATATTTTAAATGGTGAATGATACAGTATGTTTATATTTGCTGTTTATTTCCATTGTTTGCTACTTTGTGGGAACAAAACCAAGAGGCTACAAGCAAAAAATAAATTATATTTTTGGGCTAATTGACACTGGGTTAAATCCAGTTGGTGTAATTCCATTAACAGAATACTCTTTGATCCTTGGAAGATTTCTATCAGTGGGGTAGGGAAGAAATTGTTAGCAGTTCTCAGCAGTGCATATAAACAATACCACACTGTTTCAAAGAGTTCCTTCAACTCACTAGAGTAAATTGAGAAATAGTAATAAAGGGAGTAGAATTGGCAAGAGGAAATTGCCAAAAATCATTTCTTTAAACCATTGTTAATCACTAAATTAGTCAAACACCCAGCTAACCAGCATGTATTATTCTCATAACTTGGATATCATTTAGCTTGAAAGTCTGAGAATATGTCAGAATGTAATAGAGCAGGTATATCCAACCTTTTGGTTGCCTGCACTACATTGAGTGAAGAGGGATTTTCTTGGGCTGCATATAAACTATATAATATAGTTAATGTATGTAAATGCACACAATAATGTTAAAAACTTATGGTCTTGTGGGTTGAGGGCCGTGTGCACTCCCACTGGACATGTCTGCTGTAGAGCTTTAAGACAAACATACCTGATAAGAGGGAGATAAAAATCAGGAACTAGGGAATTTAAATTTAAATGGTTGCATAGTTTCAAAGATTTGCATTTGATTTTAATAATTTGCAAATCAGGTTCTTTAAAAATTCTGAAATTCATAAGGATGTTTCCAGTAGTTTCATGATCTTTCTGACTGTCTGCTTATCTATCTATTTATCTATCTGTTTTTATATATAATGCATTTGAGATATTTAATTTTGGTTGAATCCTTTTTTTTCCCCCTTTTCAGGATGTTGTTTGGGGATTAAACTCTTTATTTACTGTAAGTAATAACCTCACTGAATGAGTGTGTATTTTGATTAATCTGCTAATATAATAAATGAGCCTTAATAGAACAGATTAGTCCTCACAATTTCCAAAACCTGTATTAATCTGTTGATTCAAAAACTACATGCTTCTTGTAACTTTTGAAAACTAACACATTTATTATGGTGTAAATATCTTTGGACTAGAGTCTCCTTTATTAGATACAGTATATCTGATAAAGTGGGCTCGAGCAAAAAAGTACAAACCAAACCCCTGACGTTTCATTAGCCCCATTTTTGCTCCTTCCTAAGTTATGGAAAGTTTGTTCTTTCCTAAGTGATGAAAATCAGTAAACTAACAAAAATGAAGGTATGATTTACCCTGTTTTCAACCAAGCCCCCCTCCCCAAAGTAACCATGCACTTATATCTTGGCACAAATACAAAGCAAAACACATCCCCCATATCTAGTTGAAACCTGAGCTCTGGCCACTTATGCAATATGCAGCAATAGTAACAAGAGCCTCAGAGCTTTATCAGAAGACATTGACCTTGGTTTTCCTCCCAGGTAGTTTACTTTCCACCATGGACTCATGATGATGGTTCTGCTCCAAGTTGCATCCTTCATGGAGCATTCCAAACCTTTGGCTTTGGCAAGAGCTCTGCCTGACCTCTTCTTATAGCATACCATCTAAAGGGAACTCCTACATTTCTCCCAGATTGTTTTTTTTAATCACATCACTGTGTAATTTCAATAATCTTAAATTTTCCTTTAAATTTTAAGTTGTTCCTTTTCTTTCCAGTCTTTCAGTTGGTGTTTTGGGTTCACTTGGGTTTATTTGATTTTTGCTCCTCTCCTTCTTTGCTGTTAAGCACTTTGATTTTAGTGACCTGTAAGGATTCCTTCTGCAAGTATGCTCAGTAAATCACATACAAGGTAAACTGATCACCCCTCACACTTACTCTAGGAATAAGCACAAGAGTTCCAGAAGCCAACTTTTGCTTCATATTGCTAAAGGCATAAATGTGATCTAGCTGCTCAACAGGTCACTTTGAGCAGAAGGCAGTTCATATCCATGCAAATAGGTCTATTTCTTAGTGTTACTGCTGGCTAGGAGAATATAAAAATGTTTTGTTCCTTATCATTTTTCTTCTTATGCTAGTAGTAAGTACTATGTGTGCAGTGCAGGAGTGATTGTGGTTCCAGTACAGTATGTACTTTTAGATCTTGATTTCCAGATTGGATTGAATAATCCTTTATTGGAGATAGACCTTTGTGATCTTGATCTTACCCACCTAACATAGTTTTTTTTAAAGGCTTCTGAGTTAAATTATCTGTTATGCCATTTCTAAGCATACTGAAAATACTGAGTTAATGAAAGGGACTGTACAGGTAATCCTCAATTTATGACCACAATACAGTCCAAAATATCTGTTGCTAAGTGAGACAATTGATAAGTGAGTTTTACCAATGTTGCCAGTGAACCAGTTGTCAAGCATCCAAATTTTGAACACGTGACCATGGGGAAGTTATAAAGGTAAGTGTGAAAAAGGGTCATAGGTCACTTTTTTTGGTGCCATTGTAACCTTAAATGGTCACTAAATGAATGGTTGTAAGCCAAGGGCCTTGACAAATCCTACACCTTTCTTTAAATACTCCCTCTCTAACTATACCATAATAGCCTTGTAATCACAAGAGTTTTTGAAGCAACAATACGTAGAGGGAAGGAAAGGAGGTGTCAGGCCTGCCTCTGTTCAAAACCCAAGAAAGAAAACCCCCACTCCATTGAGATAGAGACGGAGTCCTTTTACTGAGTTTGAAATGATAGCAGTGAAAGCAAGACAAGATCTGATTCAAACACGCAGAAGTTACAGATTGAAACTTTTCCCAAATCCCTCCCCCTAGGGTCCCTTGCTGAGTGTCCAATCAGTGTCCAGTATGATGTTGTATGAAGCTTATCTTTTGGTATTTCACCCATCTGGAGTCCTAGGACAGTTGGCCTTGACAGGATGTAAACAACTCCACTCAGCAGCACAAGAATTCTAGAGAACAAACCTCCCTTTTAGTTCACATGGGACTTTACCTCACTAGCTCACTTCCCCAACCAAATGCCATGCACCCCCCTCCCCGTTACTATTGCAGCTGATAGCAAGCATGCATCAAAGTAGAATCCCATGCTGGAGATCTGACTGACATTCGGCCCTCCTGCAGTAGAGGCGTTAGCACTAAAGGAAAATAATTATTGTGGGAGCAATAAGCTGACTTTGTAAAAAATATACAAAAGTATGAAGGCTATTGCTTAATGCATTGTAAGCCGCCCTGAGTCTCTGGAGAAGGGCGGCATATAAATCAAATTTAAAAAAAAAACAAAGGACATAGAATACAGAGAGTAACCTACAGTACAAGAGAGTAAAGGAACATTATGGTTTATCAGGATATTTTTGGTGAAATAACTGAAGGAGTTTGGGAGCCCGAACCTCCCTAGTGTCCACCCATTCAGATTGTGAGGCAGGGAAATGTTTCCAGACCACCAAATACTGTACTTTCCCTCTATGTTTCCTGGAATCTAGGATTTCCTTGACTTCAAAGTGTTGTTCCCCTTCTATGAGTAGGAGAATTTGGGGGGCGCAGGCTGGACAGGTTGAAGGCGAGACACAAGTTCAGGCTTGAGCCAAGCTAACATGAAATATTGGGTGGATCTGCCTAAACTGTACTCTGACCGAGTTGATGATTCTGATTATGGAGAAGGGGCCTACATACATGGGCCCCAGTTTCTTTGATATTTGGGTGGTATGTAAGTACTTTGTAGCTAGGAAAACCTTGTTCCCCAATTGGAATTCTTTTCGTTTAACCCTTTTCTTGTCAGCCTATTTCTTATAGGCCTGATGTGCCTCATCCAGTGTCTTACAGGTGACTGGCCAAATGCGTTGTAGCTGTTCAATCCACTCTACTAAGGAGGGGATCTGAGGCTTTTCCTCAGGCAGTTCTGGTATGGGGACAAAATCCTGACTAGAATAAATTTTAAACGGGGTGAAGCCAGTGCTACTATCGAATGAGTTATTGTAAGCGACCTCTGCGAATGACAGCAGGTCGTCCCAATTGTCCTGCTGGTAATTTACATAGCACCAAATTAGCGCGTTCACAGGCCCCTTTAGTTTGGGGTGGGGTGGGTGGAGCTTAGACTCTCGGCAGAGTCTAACAACTTGAGGAATTCCCACCAGAAGTGAGAGGTAAATTGTACCTCCCTATCCAAAATAATATGGTCAGGAACACCATGTAACCTATACACATGTTGAATAAATAGTTTAGCGAGTGCTTTAGCAGAGGGTATTTTGGGGCAGGGTACAAAGTGCATCTGCTTGGAAAATAAGTCCGTAATCACCCAAATGACTGTATTCCCCCCCCACTCTCAGGTAATTCAACAATAAAATCCATAGATACTTCCTTCCATGGGGCACTAGGACTGGTGACACTCTGGAGGAGTCCAGCAGGATTCCCTGGGGGTCTTTTAGCAGCAGCACACATAGGACAGCTGGCCACGTATGACTTTATGTCCTTTTTCAATGAAGGCTACCAAAACTGCCATTTGACCAGGTGTAAAGTCTTCACAAAGCCAAAGTGCCCAGCATCTTTCGAATCATGGGCCCGTTGCAACACAGTCCCCCTAAGACTGGCGGGTACATATAGTTTAGTGCCAATGCACGCTAGGCCACCTCTTTTGTGTGGGACAGAAACCAACCATCACTTTTCAGCTCCCCTTTCAACTCCTTGCATAAGTCATTGGTGAGAGTGAAGTCTGACTTTTTCTGGGCTCCGGGGCAGCTAGTTTTTTAGAAGGGATGCCTGGATGGATCACTTCTGGCCTAGCACTATTGTACTGGGGTAATCTAGACAAAGCATCTGCCATAAAGTTCTTTCCCACAGGAATGTAGTGCAAGGAAAAGTTAAAACGGTTAAAGTATTGCACCCAATGAATTTACTTGGGTGACAGTTTTCAGGGAGTTTTTAGGGCTTCCAGGTTTTTATGGTCAGTCCACATCTCAAAAGGGTGCTTTGCTCATTCAAAGAAATGTCTCCAAGTTAATAGGGCCCATCGGACCGCAAATGCTTCCTTCTCCCAAATTTCTTACCTCCTCTCAATTTCCATTAATTTCCTGGAGATGTAAGTGCAGAGTTGTAAGGCCCCTTTGACATTAGCCTGCAAGAGCACAACCCCCACAGCCACATCACTGGCATCTGCCTGGACCACAATGGGGACATCCGTGTCAGGATGTTTAAATACAGGTTCAGCTGCAAATAGTTGCTTGAATTTCTCAAAGGCTGCTTGGCATTCCATCGTCCACTCAAAGGAATGGCTAGGCTTGAGCTTGGCCTCTCCCTTTGTTTTCAGAAGGTTGGTAATGGGTAATGCAATCTTAGCAAATGAGGGGATGAATTGTCTATAAAAGTTTGCAAAACCAAGGAAACTTTGCAACTGTTTTCTGGTGCGAGGGGCGCCCATTCCAAGACCACCCGCACTTTCTCAGGGTCCATTTCTATCACCTCATGTGATATATGGTAACCCAAATAATCCATTTTATCCTGGTGAAACTCGCACTTTGACAATTTGGCGTACAGTTCAGTTGCCCTGAATTTTTTCAGGACTCTGTGTACTAACTTCACATGTTCCTCCATAGTTTCGGCACCCTGAACTGGAAGCCAGCCCAAAGGGCAATTGAAAGCAGTTTCCCACTCCTCTCCCTCTTTAATGCAGACTCTGTAGTAAGCTTTCCTCAAGTTCAGTTTAGTAAAGATTTTTCCTTTGGCCAAATGTGCCATCATTAGGGCACAAATGTCCTTCATTAGGGGCAGCGGGTAAACATTCTCCACACACACCGCGTTCAGCCCTTTATAATCAATGCACAGATGAAGAGACCCATCCTTTTTCTCACAAAACAACACTGGGGTGGCTACCTGCAGCCTAGCTGGTTGGATGAAGCCCTGCTTTAGATTCTTGTCAATAAAGGCCCGTAACTTG